CCGATGCCTTTGTTATAGATGAATCAAACTCTTCTATTTTCAAATTAATTCCAATAATGCTATCAAAATCAAATGGTGGTTCATCTAGTTGTAATTTTGACCTAACCTCTTCAATGATAATTTGAATGAGTTTTGTTTCATTACTACAAAGGAAAACAAAATAATAACATTACCATTCAAGTAAAAGTAAGGTTAAATCCAAAAGATGTAAAGGTGGTTAAAGTGTAAATTAGCAGTATATGAATATAAAATTTTTCTGGAAGACTACAATATTAAATTATAAACACTACAACTTACTCTACCTAGTTCTTAATATTTAAAAAAATTCTTGAAGTTTTGTTTGGTCCTCAATGTAAACATGTACCTTATAAAATTTAATGAAGCATCTATGAATCACTCCTTCGATTCTCTTTATAATATGCTTTACTAGAGTAAAAAGTGGTCAACATCCCAATCTTTTAAAACTAGATTATTCATTTGATTAAGGGTTAATGGATTTTTTGTTGGATACTCCTTTCTTTTAATGATTATAAAACTCAAGAAGAGGTTTTTTTTTATTTGTTAAGATTATAAAATCAAGTTACAACAAAACCATCCAAGAAAGCAAAAGGATAATGAACAAGAGAAGACTTAGTAGGTATATATCTATTCTTTATGCTTTCTCTTAGTTCTTTATTAAAAATCATTTGTAACTACTTATATTTGCATATAATGATATAAACTTAATAAGATATAATGGTATAGACGGCCAACTTCCATTGGCACTAGACCTTCAGTGCCTATAAAGATTGAACGGCAGACTTCTAATAGGACTATAATGCCAACAACAACTAGGAATAAATAGTCAACTTCTAGTACCAATCAAAGACAAGCTGCCAGTACTAATCAAAACCAGAGTACAGGAGACAACTTAGACCGAACAATCAATTTCCATCAAAACTGGACCACCGATGCCGAATGGGACTGAAGTGCAAGTGAAGACCAGGAATGCATGACCAACTTCCATTAGAATTGGATTGCCAGTATCAACCAAGACCGCTCAGCCTACTTCCATTAGGACTACATTATTAGCACCAATTGGGATAAGACTGCCGATGCTAACTAGGATAAGACTGTTAATGCCAACTGGGATTAGACAACCGTCTATGATTGGGATCAAATGGTCGGATCCCACTGTGACCAAGTTTGATAACTTTGACCCTGCCTAAATCGGCAACCTATGCCAAGACTAGACCCCCAGGCTAACTAGGATAGGACTACTAACGCCGACCGAGACTGAACTGTCAGTGGTCAGGTCTTAGTAGAAGTTGGCTGATGGCTCAGCTAAGGAGCAAGGAGGTGTGCTTGAGGTCTAAGGATGAGGAGTCCAAGCCAAACATATTAAGAAAGGCATGCTTAAGGATCCATTACAAGGGATTATAGGCCCAATGACTTGGGCTCAGACTAAAGCTATGAAGGAGGCACTTAATAGATTGATTCAAGACTCTATTGAAGCCAAGCCCATGCCTAATAAAGAGGCCCAAGGTTCCATCTTCATAGTTTGGAGCATCCAAGAAGATTTGTCACATGTAAACTTGGAGTGTAAGATTGGATTTTTGACTAGTCAAGCAAGGATTGATTGCTAGATTAGTTTCCTTAGCTTTTACTTTTCTATTTTTATTTAGGCATTTATTTCTAATATCTTTTAGTGATTTCCTTAATTTTTAGGATTGCAAACTTGCAATTTAAGTTATTATATTTTAGGTAGGATCCTAAAAGGTGTCATCATTTAGGAAAGTTTCTAGATTTGATTTTTATTATAATTTTGGTCAACTTTCCTATATATTTTACCATAGATGGCGCCATCCACCTCGTTCTTTCTAGGGTTATGATTTTCATTTAGTTGCTTATATATAAATCTTATGTATTTGGTTTTGGGAACAAGTTAGATATATTTTTTGAATTATTCATATATTGTGAGAGATTTTCTTGTGCCTTCTTAGTGCTTGAAAAGATTGGGATTATCAAAGGATTGGTCTTCCTTTATGGGTGCCCTTGGAGTTAGGGGTCAAGAGCTAGGTGCCTCTTGGGTTCTAAATCCTAGACCGTTGGAGAAAGGGTCAAGAGATAAGTTCCTCTTAGGTCAATTATCCAAACCTGTCTTGTTCAGTTTCTTATTTTCATTTCTTGTTCATTATTGCTTTTAGTTTTCTACTTCTACTTTGTTCTTTGTTCTTGTTTGTGTGGTACTTGACAACTGTACAACGATCTATTAGAATCTAGAGTGTCTACTTCCAGTGCAAGTAGGATTTTCACATTATTAGCTATTCGGTCTTAGTCGGTGCTAGAGGTCTGGTCTCATTAAAAGTTAGCCGTCTAGTTGATGCCAGTGATCTTGTCCTGGTTGACACAGGTAGTTTAGTCCTAGTTGAGGTTGCCAGTCTAGTCTCAATCGAAGTCATTGATCTCAATCATAATGGGATCCGATCATCCAGTCTCAATGGCAAGCAGTTATCCAATCTCAATTAGCATCTGTAGTCCTATCCTAGTTAGCACCAGTGATCCTGTTGTAGTTGATGCCAGTGATCCGGTCTTAGTAGAAGTCAACCATCTAGTCCCCATCATCATTTGCACTTTAATCTAGGTCGTTAGCGGCAGTTAGGTCTTGGTGGATGTCAGTCATCTAGTCCTAGTTGGCACCGACAATTTGGTCCTGATGGAAGTCGACCATTCGAACCTGGTTGGCGATGATCTGGTCCTAATCACCATTGGCAATTTAGCTTGTTCGACGCCACCGACAAGCTAGTCAAATTGCAAAGAGATTGATGTAAGATTTGAAATAATAAGGGTTTAGAAATGATTTCAAATTACGAAGAGATTGAGGTAAACCTTTGATTAAAATTTGGGTCAAATCTAAATCCATACATTTTTAATTACCCAAATAATGGATTTGGCTTAAATCCAAATCCCTATGCATCCAAACATAGCATAGGGGAATAAAGATGCAAGAATACTCATGAACTTATTATAATGTGTGCAACAATTCCCATTTTGTTAAATTCAATTCATGTCTGTCAAGTTAACCATTAAAAATAATGAAACAAATATAAGGTGCAAAAATACTTAAAAACTTTTTCTCCAAAAACGTCTAATCTTCTTAAGTCAATAATGGTGTATCCATTAATTTTATAAAAAAGGCCATATAGCATAGCTTTGCCTTAACAACTCATGCTTATATGCAATCTAGCCTAAATATCCTAATAGTTAAATATTATTTTTTTCAATTTCAATTTTTATCTTAAAAAAATTAAGATTTTCAAATTTTATCTAATTTTATAAAAAGAATTTGGGTATTCAAGTTAAGGTGATTTGGGTTTGATAGCTTGGCTTGAATCTCTTTAAGCTTATTTGAGCCACCCAAAGTAAAGTAAAATTTTTAAGCTCTCAAACTTGGTTCTTAGATTTTTTTTTTTGGGCTTATTCAGACTAGCCCATCAGACTTGACCTAAATTATCATATCTAATCTTTCCCAATCCATTAAAATCACTTGAAGTTAATCATGAAGTCCTAAGAATAGAACTTAACATATTGCAAAAAGTTGGCATATTTTATAAAATTAATGGATACCCATGCACCATTGTTGATTTTGGAATATCAAAAGCTCCTAGAGAAAAAGCTTCTGGATATTTTTGCATCTTATGTTTACTTCCTTTTTTTAACAATTAACGTCAATGGATGTCAGTCAAATTTAACAGAATGAGTATTGTTGCACTCATTAAAACAAGTTCATGGTTACTCTTGTACTTTTGTTCACTTAAGGATATTAAGTGCTCTTGGAGAAAAAGTTGCTGGGCATTTTTGCACTTTAACCTATTTCGTTTTCTATAGAAATATTCATTCATGTATTCCTATCTCATATATGACATATTCCTTCTAGTCCCTATCATAGGGAACCTTCTACAAAGATTCATAGATTCTTAATATAACACACATAACATGGAGGGTTACTTATTACCATTTTCAAATTTACCCCTATTGTAAATTTAATTTTATAGCTAATTGTATATTGTGTATAACCTTCTCTTCCTGTTTTTAATAGGGATAAAGTTAGAAAAAAATTTCATTTTAAGATATATTTAATGAGTTGACCGTGATTCCTAGTTCAGTGAAATATTTAGTTAATGCGCCTTATGATAGGAAGCAAAGGGAGTAATATCATAATCATTTTAAAGGCCAAAATTCCAATATATGGTTGATGCTCCACGACAAACATGATGTGATATCGAAGTGGGGGTGGGAAAGGAGAGGGAAAATCCATTTCAACGCAACGCATCATTTATTGAATTAAGTTGTGAAGCAAATTACAATACTGTCTTTGATTTTTAATACAAGCAAAACTTTAACATGATTTCTTTTTGATTGGCAAAACAAGAAAATTTAAGAAGCATGTGTGACATCTTTCCTATATACCCCCTCTGGTCCTATTTTAAAAGAAAATATGTCTTTAAAGTTTCTATATTTAGTAAGGGCAACATTGAAAACTTATTAAATTTTTAGATAGAGTTAATAAGTTTTAAAATTTTTCTTGATTATGAAACATGTTAAAAATGATGTATAAATGAGATAAGAGGATTATTATCACCTTTCATGAAATTTCTTGGAGAAATGTGAGAGTGTTGCATCTTTATGAAGTGAATTCAATTAATTGTAATTAATTAGCATTTACTTTGATCAAATGAGAACACAGGAACAGTTGGATTATTTTAATTAAATGATGGTATAATTAAATTAAGAAAAATTAAGGATTAATCATAATAGAATTTTAGTCTAAAATTTTCAAGTTCAAACATAATTATTAAAATTAACTAACTTTCTTAAATTATGTGAATTAGTTAAAATTTGCTTATAAATAGAGGGAGTAACAATTAATCAATCTGACTACACAGTTTAAAATTTCCCACCAAAAATATATAAGTTTCTAGAAGCCTAATGTCAGGATAATTATTTGAAGTCATAAAGAGTTACCGATTTTCCGAGTTCCAGCCAGCTAAGTCAGCAACATCTTTTAAAGCACCCCTCCATCTGTGAACTTTCATTCTGTCATGTGCAAATGTTTCTTCATGCTTTTCAAAAGCTTCTGCAAACCTTTCCCTTTGATGCCGAACATTGGACGGATCTACACCATAAAAGATTGGAAATACATGAAGGCCCAAATATTTCTGAGAATCAAGAATCTTCAGGAGCTAATCTAAGCACCACTTTGAAGTAGCATAGTTTTTAGAGAGTACATCTATTGCCGAGGAAGATTCTTCAATTGCTTGAGACAAACTTGGCTTGATAATTTGTCCCCTTTCAAGGTCTTCATCGTCTGTAAAAGTTGTGATTCCCTTGCGACCCAAAGCAGCATACAAGTGGTCTGTAAAACTTCTACGAGTATCCTCTCCTCATAAGCTCACAAACGCATCATATTTCTTCTGTCTCCAAGTTGAACGAGAACAGCTTGAAGAATCCCCAACTCCTTGAACATCAAGTGCCATTGCAAGAATTCGGAAGCTGACCCATTCAAAGTATAAATACAACCATCAGCATCCGGATCGTGTAATATAGAAATACATAGTTGAGCTATGGGACGGGATACTGAAGAGGAAAGAAAGTCAACTAATTTTAAACCCAATCTTTTAGATAGAACATAACCTCTCGGACAGATTCAAAGAGTCACAACCTCAAAATGTAAAAGACCTTTGAATATATTGTTTCTCGTCCTTGAATAGTTCAATGGAAAACTTCACAGATAGCAAATAATTTTTTTGCACCTGAGTAAAAATAAACAGAAATAACAAAGTAATTCATTCCATTGAATAAATCTAAAAGACGAGCAAGGAAGGGCATAGGAACCATTGATTGAATAATGTTGAAAGATATATGATCTGCTTTGAGTTGCAACTTGATAAGATGAACTCTTTGTCTACTACAAAATTATAGAACATGGGAAAGAAAGGCAAAATAGGCAACCCTTCAAGCTCGAAGTGGAGGAGTTTATATATATATATATATATATTATATAATATAACATAGAAAAATTAATCATTTGATCCTTATAATTTTGACTTAATTGTAACTCAATCTTTTAATTTTAACTCGTTATAACTCAGTCCTTAAAGTTTGGACTCGATTATAAATCAATCCTTGAACTTTACCATTTGTGATTTAGTACTTAAAGTTTCAACCTCTTACATAGTAGTCCTTATATTTTAAAAAATAAAATTATAAAGATTAAAAGTATTTTAAACTTTTAATATTTACAATATTTATAAAGATTAAAAGGGTTTAATAAGTTAAAATATTAGTAATAAATTTTAAAATATTTTTATTCTTTATAATTTTATTTTTTAAAATATAGGGACAGGTATTTAAGAAGTCAAAGCCTCAGGGATTGAGTTACAACTAAGTCAAAATTGTAAGGATCAAATGATTAATTTTTCCTATAATACAATATATAATATTTATTATTTTTTATATTTACTCTACTTTTGTATTTTATATCTCTTGGCAAAAATACTTTTACCTTTGAATGACACCAGAGAATGACAATTTGGACCATTTTATCCTACTAAAATCTTGACAAATTCTAAAACGTAAAGTAAGTCCTTTGTGTGCTAATTAACTTCCCTTATAATACATTGAAAAAGAATCAAATATCCTTAATAACTATAATAAAAAATTTGATTTACATTGAAATTTACTACTTATCCTCTCAGATTTACAACTTCATTTAGCTTGGTTTACATCTTGGTTTCCCAATTTTATTTAGAAACACAATATTTTAACATTGAATTTTGAGATTATTTGCAACTTATTTTTCTCATATTTGGAACTCATTATTCTAATTTTATTTATGAACACATGGTCTTTCAACATTAATTTTAGAGTAAAATACACTTACCTCCCTCCTATTTTGCTAAAATAGAGGGGAGGTCATTGTATTTTACTTTTAGTTTTAACATTGTTCTTTTATCTCTCTCCTTTCTATAATAATCTCAACTTCTCTAAGGGTAGTAGAATAAAGAAATGGAGAGATTCTACATTCCCAAGATCTAGAACCCTATTTCTTTATCATGCTATATATCATTTTCCCTCCACGTCTGTAATCATAAGTGTAAACATCATTGCATTAAGTGAATCTATTTAAACCATTGATTTAATAAATGATTATGATTGAGAAAGTGGAGAAAAAAGGAATGATAAAAGAATGGAGAGATTACACATGGTAGAGTAGCATTGGGCCCCTTCCCTTTTTTCTAGTGCCTTTTTTAATTGTTATTGACATTTTGGTAGTGTTTGGATTAATAAATTTGGATTTTGATTTGAAATCTTACATTTCAAATCTTAAATTTAAAATCATATGCACTTAAAATTTTTTGTTTGGTAGTTTAAAAAATTTTAAATGAAAAAGAGAGGTGAGTTGAGATTCAAAACAAAAATTAAAAGTTAAAAATGACAATTTTATTTTTATTTTTTAATTGACAAAATATAAGAAAAGATACTAGAATTATAGAGGTGGTAATAGTAAAAACATGAAGATAACAATATATTAGAATTTGAAATGATTAGGGTATAGAAGAAATTTAAAATTATAAAGAAATTATGATTTGAAATGGATTTAGATTTGATCTAAATTTAAGTCCAAATTCCTATCATCTAAACACACCATTAAGAAATTGTCTAGTTTGTTTTGGAAAACCCATTAATGTTTATTTCAAACAGCGATGGGAATTGATTTAGCTTTCGGTAATATACATTATTGTAATTACCTAGATTAGGTAAATTTCTTGGAAGTGCTGAACAAAAGAAATCTTAATAGAACTAATAATTCAGGCCAAGCCCGATGAACTAACTTGAATAAGCTCAAAAAATTTAGGGCTAGACTTGAAAAATTTGTGTTTTTTTTTTGTCGTGGCCTATTCAGGCCTAAATAGACTGGACAAAATTCAGGCTAAGCTAAAATATCTTAATAAAAAATTATTTCCTTGAAATTATATTAAATATTAATTAATTCTTTAAGCTTTATTTATTTTATACAAAGATATTATACATTTGAGTACACTATTATAGATCTTTTTTAAAGAAAATAAAAATATTTATATTTTCATATTTTTATAATTTTTAATCTATAAAATATCTCAAAATAATATTTAAAATTTATTTTAATATTTATTTTAAAATTTTGAAATTCATATAATTTTTTAAACAAGTTTTGAGTGTTCTAAATCGTTTAAATATTCCCAAAAAATATATTATATATTTTATAAAATAAAAATAATTAATCTTAAAATAAAAAATTAATTTAAAATTAATTTAAAAATAAAAAATTAATAATTTGAGTATTTAACTCAAACTGAAGTTTGAAGAGATTCAAGCCAAGCATTGCTATAAAAGTTTATCTGCACCTGCCAAATAGATCTGCCCAAATTAAATCCGATGTGAATATACCCTATACGTCTGAATTACCTGCTATAATGTTTAGTGGCAGAAAAAAAAGAAAACAATGAATAAAACTGGCCATTCTTTCTCACTTACTTCAAAGTCTTCGTTATTATTAATTGTTCCACCGTATTTCTCTCTCCCGTGTAGACTGGGCTGAAAAAATAAGCCCCTGAAATAGGCCACGCCTTGACCTCATGATGCATGTGTGCCATAAATTAAAAGCCTTGGAATCCACCACACGAGGTCCCAACAAGCAAGGTTAAATAAATTTTCATCAGATTTCTTTTCCAGGTGGGAGTTCGTGTGGTGATTCCTATGCTTCTATGGTATTCACGCATCACGAGGTCAAGGTCTTCACTTTTCAAATAAGCTTTCACAATTCTTCAGTATACTCTTTTGAGAGTTTTTAAGATTTGATAGCTTATTCTTAATTTTGAAATCTTAGAAAAATGTTTTCCTTAAGTGTTTATTTACTTACAAAGGTTTTGTAAGTGTTTGTAAACAAAGTTCAAGACTTGTTATCTTAGTTATTATACTGCGATAACAAGTGTCCAATTAAATTTGTGAATTTAATAAAAACTCTCAAGTGTAATATAGAAAACTTGACATATGCTAAATGGTTGGACTAAATCACTATAAATCTATTGTGTAAGCTTTTCTCTTTTACTTATCTAATTTAAAAGTTTTTCTCAAAATTTTTTGATAAACTTAGTTACTGTTTTATTTAAAAAAAATTTAACAAAATTTCAAAATAACTAATTCAACCCCTTTTTAAATGTCGAGCTTACTTGAGCATTGCATTCACGTTTATATTTCTCATAATGAAAGTTAAAAAATTTTGATTTGATTGGAGTTGGTGAAAACATGTAGATAAGGTTAAGCTTTGATTAATTTAATTAATACTCCCTCCGTCTCAAATTATAAGATACTTTTAAATAAAATCTCACATATCAATAAATTTTATTAAATACACTTAATAACTTTATCTTTTCAAAACAAAAAATATGAACTTTCAAAAATCCCATCATTTAATATATTAAAAAGAGAAGGGATGAAAATTAATTATAGAAAGAGAAAGGGTAATATTAAAATTGATACATTTAATAAAACCTTAATCTACCCAAAGTGTCTTATATTTTGGAATGGAGAAACTTCTTCAAAAGTATCCTATAGTTTGGGACGGAGGGAGTATATTTTATCTATCATACTTTCTATTTAGAATAAAAATTAAAAATAATAACAATAATATAAAAAAGATTATTGAAAATAACATATTTTAAAATTATTGAAACTAACATATTTTAACATACTTGAGCATTGCACTCACGTTTATATTTCCCATAAAGAAAGTTAAAAAATTTTGATATGGTTGGTGTTGGTGAAAACATGTAGATAAGGTTAAGCTTTGATTAATTTAATTAAAACTCTCTCCGTCCCAAATTATAAGACACTTTTAGACAAAATCTCACATATTAATAAATCTCATTAAATACACTTGATAACTTTATCTTTTCAAAAAAAATATGAAATTTAAAAAATAGCCATCATTTAATATATTAAAAAGAGAATGGATGAAAATTAATTATAGAAAGAGAGAGAGTAATATTGAAATTGATACATTTAATGAAACATTAATCTATCCAAAGTGTCTTATATTTTGAGACAGAGAAACTCTTTCAAAAGTGCCCTATAATTTGAGATGAAGGGAGTATATTTTATCTATCATACTTTCTATTTGGAATAAAAAATTAAAAATAATATCAATAATATAAAAAAAATATTGTTGAAAATAACATATTTTAAAATTATTGAAACTAACATATTTTAACATACTTAAGCATTGCACTCACGTTTATGTTTCCCATAAAGAAAGTTAAAAAATTTTGATATGGTTGGAGTTGGTGAAAACATGTAGATAAGGTTAAACTTTGATTAATTTAATTAATATATTTTGTCTATCATACTTTCTATTTGGAATAAAAAATTAAAAATAATAAAAATAATATAAAAATAAGATTATTGAAAATAACATATTTTAAAATTATTGAAACTA